GGGTCAATGCGGATCAAGTATCCAAGACGACCCCTTCAGGAGACATCTTGCCTGCTGGAAACTTTACTGTTCAGGGCAAGAAGAACTATCTTCCCCCAGCTCAACTGCTGCTCGGTTTAGGGTTTGTATTCAAGATTAGCGAGCAGAGCAAAGGAAAGCATTTGAAACATCGAATTCACGACGAACGCTCTTCCATAGCTGCAGAGAGTGCAACGGGCGAAGAAGAAGTACAAAACACTGAAGAAGTTGATGACGCAGAGGACTCGGACGCCGAATTGGAGGAAAACCAAACTGGTCAGGACGAACGAGCCAACCCTCTGCAAAGCTCTGGCGTTGAAGACGAGGCCACGGACGATGTGGCAGACAATTTGTCAGCTGTCAAGATTAGTGACCAGCCCGGCAACGATGAGAATGCACCGTCACCTGGAGATGCAGCTGAAGGGGAACAAGGAGAGGCAGCAAATGAGGCGGATGCAAAGGAGGAGGAAGATGACGATGAGGAAGACGAGGTGACGCCCTCAGAATCGGCCACTGAAGTTTCCGAGGCTCCTACCCGAGCTTCTGATACCACTTCGCTTGCCACGGGAGCCTCCTCGGCAGCGGCAAAGAAAAGGGGCCAGAAACGCGGGCAAAAGGCAAAGGCGAAAAAGATTGCCCAGAAGTACAAAGACCAGGACGAAGAGGACCGCGCCACGGCGGAAGCTCTGATAGGAGCAACGGTGGGACGACAGAGGGCTGAAGCAGAGGCCGCGGCGAGAGCGCAGCGCCTGGCCGAGCTGGAAGCGATGAAGGAGCGCCGACGGGCTCAGCATGAGCGGAAGCAAAAGGAGGTGGCGGAGCAGGAGGAGCTTCGCCGCGCGATGCTGAACGAGGGCCTCGACGTGCAAGAGCCGGACGAGGCAGAGAAGGCGACGAACTTGGATACGCTGGTCGGCACGCCGCTGGCCGGAGACGAGATCCTGGAGGTGATTCCCGTGTGCGCTCCCTGGAGCGCTCTCGTGCGGTTCAAGTACAAGGTCAAGCTGCAGCCGGGCTCGGTGAAGAAGGGCA